GGGAGAATCTATCAATTACCACAAGGTCAAACCAAGTGTAGGTACAACTGCAGCCACTGTGCCAGATGTGGTAGCAAATTACAACTGCCTCAGGTGCATGGTGTGTGGACATTGATTGGATGAATGTGTTTTTTTCTATCGGGATGAGAAAAGGGGATTAGCCATGGACGATGTTTCCAAGTGATTAGAGCATTTGTTCACCAACCAAAAGGTCATGGGTTCAATTCCTGGTCAAGGGCACATACCAGTACCTGGGTTACAGTTTTGATCCCCAGCTCAAGGCTCCCACAGTGATAACCAATTGATGTGTCTGTCTCACATCAATGTTTCTTTCTTTCCCCTTCCCTCCCTCCCTTCCACTCTCTCTAAAAATCAATGGAAAACTATAATCGCATGGATGGAGTAGAGAGAGAAAATCTGGACTATTTGTACTTCCTGCGAACCACTTCTCAATGATTTTATGGTAATCAGGTCATATGATCAAGAAGTAGCCAACACCTAGAGGTCATGGTCCTCTAAGGGAGGACCAGAGATGAACCTTATGAAGAATTAGAGGCTCACCAGATCAGGTACATGCCCAGGACATCTCATCCAAAGTGAAAGATAAATTATTGAATCTTGCATACCCCACTATGAAGAAGAAAGTGCACTGCTCTTGGTTTTTGAAAGTAGCATATTCCACACCTGAACATACTGCTTCAGTCCATGTACAAGGTGACACAATAGGCTGCCAGCTTTAAATGAGGCCTAGATTAGGAAAGAGTCTGAGGAAGATCCTGGCTATGGTAGAAACAGTGCTGCTACTTGTGCAGTATAGCCTAGGTGACCTTATGGTGTTAAAGTATCAGATGTAGGAAAAGATATGACATGGAGTTCATGGCAAGCCCATATGGAAGAAGCACAGTACAGACTCCTCTTGGGGCTCTGGAGCAAGGCCATCCCATCTGCATTGGAAATATATGCCTGTTGAGTGACGATTCCTGGTGTGCTGTTGGCTCAGTAAAGATGGAGCTCCTGACCTTGAGACACCAAGTGACTGTGCATCCAGAACTGCTATGAAGGGGTGGGTTCTATTAGATGTACCATGCCATATGTCAGGCGAGGCCAAAAATTGTCTCTTGTAATATGGAGGTGATGCACCCAGGATTGAGTCTGAGCAAGAAAAAGATCACAAGTGATTTCCATGAACAATGTGAGGAGCATCCCTGCAAAGCATCCACATCCTAACTGCTGGAATCTGGGGCTATATGATAGGTTACTTGGCAAAGGGAAAATGTGGGGCATCTCTGATTGGCCACTTTAACTCCAGAGCTCCCTGTTGGCCAATACTGTTTCAGCATACAAGTTCAAGAAGGTCCCAAAGATCTCCTTCAGTAATTTAACAAATGGATTCATAGAATTCAGAAAACTACTATATTCATGGTTATGGTTTATTATAGTGAAAAGATGCATATTAAAAGGGGCAAAAAAGTGGGATTTATTCCAGGCATGCAAGACTGATTCAGCACTTAAAAATGTATTGATGCAATTTGTCGTATCAATGGGCTAAAGAAGAAAAGCCACATAATCATGTCAATACGTGTAGGAAAATCATTTGGGGGAAAAAAAAAATCCAACACCTGTTTATAAAAACTCCCAGCAAACTAGGAAGGGAACTTCCTCAAGTAGACGAAGAACATCTACAAAAAAGCTACAGCTGATGTCATACTTCACTGTGAGAAACCAGGTGTTTTCCTGCTAGATCAGAAACAAGTCAAGGATGTCTGCATTTATCACTCCTGTTTCATATCATACTGAAATCCTGGAGAATACAGTAAGATAATAAAAGAAAATAAAAAATATACTAACTGGGAAGAAAGAAAAAACAAACTATCTTTGTTCACAGATGGCACGATTGTCTATGTACTGTGTAGAAAAATCCAAAAGAATGAACAACAACAACAACAACAAAATAACACTCCTGGAACTAATAAGTAATTATAGCAAAGTTACAAGATACACAGTTAATATACAAAAGTCAGTTGCTTTTTTGTATACCATCAATGAACAAACGGTGAGTATAATTTAAAATATAATGCCATTTTTATACTCCTCCCCCAAAAAAGAAATACTTTGGTATAAATATAATAAAATAAGCACAAGCTCTATATGAGGAAGACTCTGATGAAAGAAATCAAAGAAAATCTAAATAAATGGAGATATATTCCATGTACAAGTGTAGGAAGATTCAATACTGCCAAGCTGTAAGCTCCTCCCAGCTGGGTCCATAATCAATGTAATGCCAATCAAAATTCCACCAAGTTATCTTGTGGATATCGATACTAAAGTTTATAAGGTAAGACAAAACATCCAGAAAGACCAATATAATATTGAATGAGAAAACAAAGTAAGAAAACTGTTACTACTGAATTTTAAGACTTACTATAAGAGCTGCTATAATCAAGAGAGGGTAGTGTTGATGAAAGAATAGCCAACTAGATCAACGGAACAGAAGACAGAGCCCAACAGTAGACCCACATAAATATAGTCAACTGGTCTTTGACAAAGGGACAAAGCAATAAATGGAGCAAAAAATGGTCTTTTCCACAAATGTTGCTCAAACTAGACATCTCCATGCACACATACACACACAGGAAAAAATAGATTCTACACCCAGACTCTATACTTTTCACAAAAATAAAACTCAAAATGGATTATAGATCTAAGTGTAAAACACAAAACTATAAAATTACTTTTTCTTCAAGTGTACTCTTGTTCTTCCAGAACACTCTAACCTAATTTCTCCCTTCCCTTCTTTTTTCTTTCCCCTTCTTTCTTTCCTCCCTTTCCTTCTTCCTTCTTTCCTTTCTTCCTTCCCTCCTTTCTTTTTTCTTTATTTCTTTTAATATACATATGTTTTGGGGGTAAGATACTTGTGACACTATCCATTCCCTTATTTTACATTGAGACACTTCTACATTGCCACATGCCTGGTCATATAACATGTGTGGGGTTCGTTTTGTTGTTTTGTTTTGTTTTGTTTTGTTTTGTTTTGTTTTGTGAGGGGATTCCAACTGAGTCTTGAATACTAATTTCCCCTCTGGCTAAATAATATTCTGAAGTAAATTGCATAAATTCCGTAAGTCCTGTCATTTGTGAAATAGGAATAATAAATGGCTCTTGGTAGGATTAATTAAGGTATCCTTTACTCCTATCCCTTTCATCCTTCAAACCTAAAAATTGATGTTTTAATGAATGGTGTTGATTGAGTTTAATTAGGATACTGGGGTTTTGGAGGCCATGGTAGGGAGATTTCTGGGCAAGGGCACCACCAGCAAGGAAACGCTCAGAGGTAGCCTGGAACCTGGCGCTTTTGGAGACTCAAAGAGGAGTTTGTATGACATTTTTTCTTTGCATTTGGAACTCTGTGAAGAGCAAGGGAAAGGATGAAAGAGATGTGGGAAATGCAAATAATAATATTAAGGAAATACAAATAATAATAATAATAATATTAATAATATCTTTGTAACTCAAGAGGGCACAAGAAAGAGAGAGGGACACAAACAAAAATGACTATAAGGTATTATGAAATTTTATTTATCCTGGATCCTGATCATTTAAATTTAGTGTTTCATGTGATTGCAACCTCAGCAAAACAAAGTTCGTATTATAAGACAAAATTAACATGTAATCCTGATGTCAATCTGACCTTTCAGATTATTTTCCACATTAATTTTTTAAGACCATAATAACCAAGTTTGGCTTGTTTCTGTCTTAGTGTCTCATTATTTTGGTCACAGTAAAACCCTGAAGAATAAATCAACTTAGCATGTGTCTTCTTAACTCCAACAACGTCAAAGCAGTCCATAAAAACCACTTCTACTCTGATCATAGACGATATAAATCCTTCATTCATCAAATTGCTGCATCCCTTTGGACTTGAGTCTCCTGAGCAGTGGTTGGAGTTGAATGGCAACTAGTGTGTATCCATTGGCCGGCAGGCGTCACTTTGGGCCAGTAGGGGGCGTGGGAGCTCCTAGGCACCGGCCCGAGTAGTCAGGGGGCGTGGCAATGCATCCTTGACAGACAGCTGAGGATGCTAGCGAAGATGAGGTAATACTACCCCAAACTAGAAGGGCGTTGGGGTATGAGCACCTGTGTGTGCGAGTGTGAGTGTGAGTGTGCAGGTGCGGGTGCGTGCGCGAGCGGGAGACACATCGTGTCTCAAAGCTGACACTGCAGACACGGATCACGCTGCATTTAAAAAAAAAAAAAGAAGAAGAAGAAGAAGGAAAAGAAGACAATTCGGTCCTGGGAGGGAGGTGGCAAAGTTGAGGCCGGGCGACTCCTGCGGTCCTACCTCGGGCCGTGCCATGGAGGGCGGCTTCTCGGCGTCTCGGGGCTGGCGTAATCCCCACGGGCACGGATTTGCCTTGGTGTCTCTCTTGGGAGGAGCGATTCATTCTGGAAGCAACTGAGCAGAGCCACAGGGAGGGGGAGCCCTCGCCCAGGCGGAGACGGCAGTTCGTGCGGCGAGGAGTAGGGAAGGGAGGGGAACCCGGCGTGCCATTCCCGGCGCGAGCGCGCGGCGAGGTCCCACCCGGGCGCCTGCAGAGCCCGAGGCGCAACTGGTGCGAGGGCTCGGTCCCCACCTGGCAGCCGTCTCCAGCCCGCGCCCGCCGGGTGGCCTGGGCAAGGCGGGGGCCTGTCTGCAGAAAGCCGGACATTTGCATGAAGCCACCCGACCCCACGGAGCAGTGGCAGCGGCGGCGGCAGCGGCGGACCCCGGAGGCGGCGCGCGATCCGAGCCAGGCGGCCCCGGGCCCCGGGCCCCGGTGGATGCGCGGCCGGGGAGCGGCCCGCGGGCCGGAGCGGAGACTGCCCGCCGGGACTTCTGGGCGCGGGGCGGGGTGCGCGGTCGAGGCCCAGAGGCGGCGGCGAAGGAGGAAGCGGAGGAGGGCGGGCGCCCCGAGCCCGGGAGAGGGACCGCGCCGCGCCGCCGCCGCAGCCCCGGGCTCGCCATGCTCCTGGCCTCGGCCGTGGTGGTCTGGGAATGGCTGAACGAGCACGGCCGCTGGCGGCCCTACAGCCCCGCCGTGAGCCACCACATCGAGGCGGTGGTCCGCGCCGGCCCCCGCGCCGGGGGCAGCGTGGTGCTGGGCCAGGTGGACAGCCGGCTCGCGCCCTACATCATCGACCTGCAGTCAATGAACCAGTTCCGCCAGGACACGGGTGAGCCGGCCGCCCCAGCCCCGCCCGCGCCACCCCTCTCCCCTCCCCGCCCTGAGGTTCCCCGCGGCGCGAGCCCACAGGGGCCCACCCAGAGGTGGTGTCTCCCAGAGGGAGTCGTGGAGGAAGGTGCCTCTTGCCCGGGGTCCTAAGATGCCCCCTGCAATAAACCCCCAAGCAATTAGTGTCAGCGTTCTGGTTATGCAAACCCAGCTGCACCCTGGCCCCTGACAACTCCTCTTGTACGCCCCCTTTTAAGCGCTCGTGGAAGCTGTGGCGCCACCTCGGCCACAAGCAATCCCAGCCCCTGGTGAAGGCTCCCGGCTCCCATCGCCCACACCTCGGCTGACCCTGCTTCGCCCCGGGCACCCTTGGGCCTGCCGTACATCCCCCTTCTCACCCACGTTACTGCCTCTGCCCCTCCGGTGTGGGCTGCCTTCCCACAGCGGGGTGCTGGGTGTGGGGACTGGGGAAGGCGGCCGAGATTCCCGGGAGGCTCTAGCGGTTAGTCTCCATTGGGAAGAAAGGGCTGGGCTCCCTGGGAAGGGAGACTGGAGTTGAGGGATTCCATGGCTGGAAGCGCCCTGGATGCTGTGGCATCCGCCCGTGCGGCTGCTCGTGCAGTCCCAGGGCTGAAGCAACAGGCCGAACAGATGGAGAGAGGGAGGGGGGTGGGCACCGGGCTCGGAATGCCTGGCAGGGAAGCCGCTCCGCTCTCTTTGTCCGCGGAGGAGGAGGAAGAGAAGGAGGAGGAGGAGGAGGAGGAGGAGGAGGAGGAGGAGGAGGAGGAGGAGGAGGAGGAGGAGGAGGAGGAGGAGGAGGGAGGATTCCTAAGGAGAAACTGTCCCCAAGCTTCCTCCTTAAACCGTTCACTGTGAGGGACATTCCGGCCTCCCAGACCACAGTCTTCTCATGAAATGCAAGTTGCTACTGTGGCCACCGCAATCTCACTTCCCAGCTGACCAGCCTTCCATCAGAGAAAGGAAAAGAGGCGGCAGGGAGGAGGGCAGGGTGGAAGTTCTTAGCGGAGGGCCAGGGCAGAGCTGCCTCTTTGCTTGGCCCAGTGTGTCCACACTTAGTTGATGACTTGGGACAAGTCTGTCTCCTCATGGGGGGCGGGGGGGCGGGGAGGGGAGGGAGATTGTTTCTGGAATCCTGGCTGGGCTATCCTGAGAATGTGCAGTGGAGCCTGGAGAGGCAGGTGTGGGGAGGAGGGACTGGAGAGGAAGACTGGGAGAGTCCCAGAAGGCCGGAGAACAGCTGTTGGAGCTGGGCATCTCAGCCCCCTTGGAAAGCCCCATATCCTGTGTGCTAATTAGGATTTTCATGGGAAAGAGATAGTTTTCCGCACTCCTGCCCCATCTTTAGTCATGACTCCCAACAACCTCTTTGCCAAAGACTTTGCAGACACCAGCCCCGTGAGTAAAGTTTTCAGGGGAAAGGCTCCCAGAAGTGTTACCAAGGAGGGAGGGGGGAGAGGAGAGGAGGCTTAAACCCTGGTGGGAACGGGAGGGAGTGGCGCTCAGATGGCGGAGAGGGAGTAAGGAGGACATGGGAGATTGAGAAAGAAGATTAAGTGTGGCTGAGGTGGAGAGAGGGAATGTAATTGTGTAATGTGGACAGAGGTTGTGGAGGTGAGAGCAGAGGCCTCAGATTGGGGGGTGGGGGGGGTGTATGTCTGGAGAAGGGGACAGCTGAGCCATGGAGATGGGACCAGGAAGACCAACCAGCAGCCAAGACACCTGACAGGGAATTCCAGTCCTGCTCAAAATAAACAGGCAGGTGTGAGCTTTTTGAAACTAAGTCTCTGCAGCACATGGCGAGGCACCCTAGAGACCTAAAGGTCCCAGCCCTTGTCTCACATTTGGGAAAGGAGAACATTTAATGGGTGATTACAGACATGGTACCTAAAAAGGGTCGCTGTGGCCTGAAGGCCTCTTTCTACAGAAGGGACGTTCTGGTGAAAACTGAGTTGAAGGACAGAAGCCACCTTCCCCAGGTCTGATCGCTCTTCCCCAAGGACCGGCTGACCACTACCTGGTGCCAATTTAGTCCAAGGCTAGGCACCTGTCCTCGGGGAAGAGTTTGCTGGTGCTCTGCAGACTTCAGACCAGAGGCAGAGTGCTGGCCCTGGATCGTTTTAAAGACCGCCTCAGAGTGTGTTTCGCATTCTTGTCTGTCTCTTCAGTGCCAGGCCCTGCACTGGGTGCTAGAGGCCTGGGCTGGATTCCCAGGAATGCTGGGTCTGTCAGGGAGCTTGTCAAAGCAGAATAGGACCCTCTGGGTTACTGGACTTGGAGCCCCCTCCTCTCCATTCTCCACCAACAGACACACAGTTCCTCTCAGTATAGCTCATTGATGAGGACATGCCAGGGTAGGAACTTTAAGCCACCAGCTCCCAGGCAACCTCGGCCAAGCCCTAGCAATGTTTAATTAAATTACCCACTGTCCCCTAAGCCATAGTTTGAAGCTGGGAACCAGAAACATCCCCATAAACAAAGGAGAGCTGGAAGTCCCCTGTGTAGGGCCGATTCCTCGCTTTTTTTTTTTTTTTTTTTTTTTCCCCACCTCTATGTGAGGGCATTTCCTGAGATGGAAGCTTTGTTTGTTTATTTTTTTAGAAGTAGCCTGCCCTGATGCCAAGGAAGTCCTCAGACTCTCAGCTTTCCTGGGCTCCGACTTTATCCAGCCTGTTTCCAAGGAGATTCCTAGGAGGTTGCAGACACCCTCTCTGCCGCCTCTGTTTGCCCTGGACACTTCTTCCCCCAGACAGCCTCCCAGTCGGAGCTTATTTGCATTCCATGCTGGTCTCCTCTAAGCAATTGGGGCTAGAGAATCTGGAAGAAGGGAAGAGATGGGGCCGGTGGGTTTTGGCTGCTTCCAAAGGCCTTGGTTGGGTCCTCTTCGCCTACAGTCATTTGCCTTGCCTGGGCTAACCTGTTGTAGGACACAATGACTGGAGCTCTGTACTTCAGCATCACTTTCCTCTACATCTCCCAACACACCTGTTCACTGCCATCTCCAAGGCCCAGGCAGCAGGATGGAAGGGGAACACCCAGACTGGGAGGGGAAGACATGACTAGGCTCTCATCCCAGACTCACTGGCTTACAGTGTGACCTGCAGGAAGTTCCTTCACTGCTCAGGCCTCATTTTCCTCTGCAGAATGAAAAACAGGCTTAAGATTCCTTGTGGCTCCTTTCTTCCTATCATGCAGATCAGCATGTGAGTGAGTGGGTTTGGCCCCTCCTCCAGTGATGCTGCTGCTTAGAAGCTGTGTGGTGTGAGGGAGGGATCTTTCCAGTGCAGAGATTTCTGTGCCAGCTGTGGCCTCTCTTATGGTTTTCATGTGGTGAGAGGGTCATATGGAGAGAGATTAAGGGTTTGACAGAATCTGATGAAGCTGATTTTTAGGGTCCCACAGTACTCTGCATCCTCTGTGAGCACAGGAATGGAGGAGGCAAAGGGCATGATGACCACATGACAGTTACAATATAGAGATGCCCCAAGCACATGGCACACATTATCTTGTTTAATTCTCCAAGAGCCTTATGAAAGACCTATTGTTCCTATTTTATAGGAAAGGAAGCAAGTTGAAAGAGATTAAGTTATTCAAAGGTTTATAGCCAGTCAATGAGGAAGCTAAGGTTCCAAATCAAGTGTTCTATGCTCTGCTCCTTTATGTGGTGAACACATATAGAGCACCTGCTTCATGCAGGTGCTGTTCTATGCATGTGGGGTGTAGCAGTAACAAATACCTAAATACCTAAGTTTTTGCCCTCGTGGATTATTCTAGTAAGGGTGAGGGGTGCTGGGATTTCTTGGACAGAGTAGATGCTCTAACACAGTGTTGCATAGATGTGGGTGAAATGCCCTAGAGACCTCAGGTCATTCTTAGAACGTGTTGTCTCTCGCTTTTCAAAAGCTGGAATCTCTTAGGTGCTTTGAGCAGCAGGCGTCTGAGTTGCCAACAAAAACTGACTTTCATTCCCTTTCTTCCTTTATCACTATCCCATTAGAGGCCTTTTCCTTGGGTCACTGCACCTTAAGACCCAGTGGATTTCCTCAGATCATCTAGTTCACGGTTCTGATTATAGAAGGTCCATTCCAGATGGAACGGCCTCAGAAAAAAGTCAGAGAATTAAATCCCACCATCTCTTTTGTCCCATAACTTTGGTTCTGAGGTCTGCCTTCTCTCTGTAATTAACCTGCTAGGACTGAACTGAACTCAACACTTTCTCTTTCCAAACTCAGCTTTCCATCTTTTTTTAAAAATATATATATATATTATTGATTTTTTACAGAGAGGAAGGGAGAGGGATAGATAGTTAGAAACATCGATGAGAGAGAAACATCGATCAGCTGCCTCCTGCACACCCCCTACTGGGGATGTGCCCGCAACCAAGGTACATGCCCTTGACCGGAATCAAACCTGGACCCTTCAGTCCGCAGGCCGATGCTTTATCCACTAAGCCAAACCAGTTTTGGCCAGCTCTCCATCTTGACACCCCTCTGCCCGTTACTGGTGCTTCCATTTTACCACTTGACTGTTTGATACATTCTGTCATTCAGAGTCATACTCGGGTGCTAGGCATGTGCAGACACATAGACCATGAGGGCCAGCAGTTGGAATGTTAGTGTGCATGGGAACTTAGGGTGCCCCCCTCGCCCCCTGGGCTGGAAGGCATTGTACCTCTAAAGATTCTGAAGCAGGTGATCCTGGAACTGCTCTTGGAAAATATTCAGCTCTTCATGGTCAAGTCCTACCCATTTTCTCTCTGTAGGGACTTGTCCCCATCTTTTCATTTTCACTGCCAACACCCTCATTACTTCTCACTTAGACACAATTAACAGACCTGCTCTGCACTTGTCACTTCTCTGTGTCACAAACTTCACTGGCTCCTTATTGTGGACAAATAAAATCCATGACAACTTAGCAGTCCTTCGTCATGTCTGACTATTGAAATTCTTTTTATATGCAGGTCTTATGCTACTTATCATCCATTTCTTAGAATGTTCTCCAAACCATCATTCATTTACTTAATATTTAATTGATATTTATTGAGCCACTAAGATATTCCAAGCATTGGAGGATTCAGCCCTGAGCAAACACCTGGATGCCCACTATTGTGGGGTTAGAAGTCCAGTGGAGGAAAACAGGCTTTCATCAAATTAATCACACAAATGAATGTGTAATTGCACATCAAGATAAATGCTATAAGAAAAAATAAGAGTGAGAATCCGACCTGGTCACGGCAGCACAGAGGAAATCTGAAGGATGAGCAGTGAGGAGGATTGCCTGAGTGTTTGGGGGAGGGACCAGCATTATGAAAAGGTCCAGAGAAGCATGGCAGTGGACAGAGAGTGAAGGAGACTGGGGTAGCAGAAATGTGAGCAGAGTGGGGGGAGGGGATCTCAGTGCTGAACTCAGGGGAAGTCATGAAAAGGATTTAAGCATTAAGGATGTGGTCAGATTTTCTGCCAGCATGCTATTTTGTTGGCACCCTTCCTGTGGCTATTCTGTCTCATAAATAGTCATTAGCATACCTGTCTCATTTTAAACTGTAAGCTATTTGAGGAGTGTCTAGGTCTTGGCATTCCTTACAGCACTAGTGGGTACCCAGCGGATGAGGCAAATAATGAAATGCCAAAGTAGCCAGAAGTCATCAATCAATCACAGCACATTGCAGAGCCCTCATTATTGCCAGGCAGTGCAGTGGGCACTAGAAAGCAAAGACCTACACTGTGTGTCTGTGCTTCCATGTAAGGCGCCGGCATGAAAGGAGGCCCTGGTGCACCCTAGACTTCCTAACTAGGAGAATCTTTCAAGGGATGGATGGTAAATGGCATAAGAGAATTTCAATAGGTAAAAAAAAAAAAAAAAAAAAGGCAAAGGGGGCATTTCAATAGAAGGGAATACTAGTGGAGGAGGTCCAGGAACTCTAAGGGAACCAGTGAGGGTAATAGGGGTATCTGTTTATCAGGAGTGGAGGCAATACAAGCACAGAAGATAAACTTGGGGCTGTGTGGGAGCCAGGATCTCCAGAAGCTCTGGGGCAATTCCCAGGCATCTCTGAGAATTGGTAACACTGGTGTAAAAAAAAAAAAAAAAAAGCCCTCTAAGAATATCTATGAAAATTGGTCAAGTACATTGTCTCTGCTACTTGGAATACCTGGAAGAAATACAAAAGAATGTTTTTAAGCTCTCTACACTTAATTTCCTCACCTCTAAAAAGGAATTTTATAGGATTGCCATGAAGATCACATTGATTGTACAAATATGAGTTATATATAAAATATCTCTTTCTTCTTCTTCTCCATCCTGTTCAGACAAATAGTAGAAAAATAATAATAATCACCAACTTTTCTCGAGCTTTTGCCATGTGACAGGTGTTATTTCAGTGCTTTATATTCATTTCTACATTTCTTGCTCAAATTCACCCTTTAAAGTAGCTTCCCTGGATCCAAACAGATAAGGAAACTGAGGCATAATCACACAGCTGGAAGGGGCGGGTTTTCTGCTGTTGGACACAAAGCCTGTGTTCTTTGTTCGAGCTGGCTACTTAGGAAGGAAATAGAAGCAAACCAGGGGACTATTGCCTCCCCGCTTCCTCCTGTCCTGCTAGCTACCCCGTGTCCCCCAGCAGAGGTCCTGCTGCTGAATAGGGAATTGTTCTGTCTCTCCCTCCTGCCTCTGAATATTGATGTTTTGGGTCATTAAGGGGGTTGGAGATTGGAGGGGGGTGGGTTATGACCCTGGCAAAGGCCTGAATAGCCATTGTTCCTTTTCTTCCCCCCTTGAATGGGATTCTGTCCCAAGTCCTGGTGTCTTCCTCTGGGTTGGAGGAGGGGTGTCAGAGGCAGGAGAATGAGAGTCTTTTCCCACCACTTTGATGGCTAGGAATCAAGATGATAGATTTGGCGATTCCAGCTCCCCCTCCCACCCGGAGGTCTCACCAGCTTCCCCATCCTGCCTTGAGCTGGGTATCTGCAGCCTTGATGATACCCATGAAATGAAGTCTGAACTCAGGTTGGAGGCAGGTAGGGGAGAAAGAGGCAACAGTTAGAGGCTTAGTATACCCTTCTTGTCCTGCAGGCTTGTTTCTGCTGTACTGTTCCCCTGCCTCATCCATATCCCTAACCCCTACCCACAGGAAGATTGTAACAATGAAGATGATCTCTTTAAGAGGGCTTGACTTTCTTGAAAGAAAGACATTTGATACATAGGAAATTATTCTTATGACCATCATTGTTGTCGATATAAGAGTGAATGCTGGGAAATTTGGGAGTGTGCTCGCAACCTGATTTTCCTTTCTCTTCTCACAATAACAGGCCAGCTCAGTGATCACTGTTTCTGGGCAACTTTCCCCGACAGAGGCAGAGTCTTCCTCTGCCCTCTAGGTTTCCATGGCCCTGTGTTCTTTTCGTCCATAACCCTAGAGGCAGGAACACTTAGAGGGATAGGGGAGAAAGGATATGATATTTATGAGCACCTACTGGGTGTCAAAGGCATTATGTCCCTTAGGGCCAAGAGAAATGCAGAACTTGGCATGTACAAGTGCGTATTTGTTGAGTTAACGAGGAGTCACACTTAAACTTTTCACAAAAACTCAGCAAAGAAATCATTCTGTTTCTCAGGGGAGAAAAGGAGGCTGTGTGGGGGTGGGTGAAGGGGTGTCTATATTAGCTAATAAAGGAGCAAACTTGGCTGCAGATCAAGGTGTCCCCACTCCAAGCCAGGAGTTGCTCCTTCTGGCAGTCCACTGCCTCCCATCTCCTTTGCCTTATAACTCATCTGTTTTTAACCTGGTGTGACTATGGACTCCTAAGAGACAGGAATGAGTCTCATTCAAAGCTGATATCTCAACAGGCAGCTCAGTGCCTGGCACACAGTAGGAATTATTTAATATTTGCCTATGAATGGAACAGAATTCCGTTTTCTCTCCTTGCTGACCTTGACTCTCTCCTCTACCCCCCTCTGGCAGGGACCCTCCGCCCAGTTCGCCGCAACTACTACGACCCGTCTTCAGCCCCCGGGAAGGGCGTGGTATGGGAGTGGGAGAACGACAATGGTTCCTGGACGCCCTACGACATGGAAGTGGGCATCACCATCCAGCACGCCTACGAGAGGCAGCACCCCTGGATCGACCTCACTCCCATCGGCTTCAGCTACGTCATTGACTTCGGCACCATGGGCCAGATCAACCGGCAGACCCACCGCCAGCGCCGCGTCCGCCGGCGTCTGGATCTCATCTACCCCATGGTCACAGGCACCTTGCCCAAGGCCCAGTCCTGGCCGGCCAGCCCGGGATCAGCCGGGTCCGCAGGATCAGTGGCCTCACCCCCAGGCCCGCCCTGCTCTTGCCCGCAGTGCGTCCTGGTGATGAGCGTCAAGGCAGCCGGGCCCCCGCAGCCTTCAGCAGCCCGCAAGAGCATGCCCCAATCCGGAGCGGTCAGGCTACCCCAACCACCACCAGGACCCGGGCCCAAGCTCCTGGACAGCACGGGCACCATCCGAGGCCCCGTGAAGACCGCTCCATCCCAGGCAATCCAGCGACAGGCCGCCAGCACTCCGGCAGGGGCGGCCGGGGGCTCTCCTGCCAGCCCCCCGGGAGCCAACGGCAAGACTGGAAGGGTGGCCCTGGCGACCTTGAATCGGACCAACCTGCAGCGGCTGGCCATGGCGCAGTCCCGGGTGCTGATCGCCTCTGGGTAGGTGCTTGTGTGGCTGCCTCTGAGTCTCTACGCCCCAGGCAGAGAGAGCTAAGGACTCTGACACCCCGTCAGAGATGGAGGAGGGGCCGCCAGGGCTTCCCGCTCCCTGTCATCTTGTCCTACCACCCTGGCTGCAGGTGGATGAGGAGGCGATTCTAATGGACACGTTGCCTCTTACTAGCTCCCGAGATGGGGCAGTCCCTCAAATCACAGCCCTCCCTTCCTGCTCTGTGAGTTCTGGCAGCCATACCCACATCTGGGTTGCTGTGAGGACTAAAGAGATCAGGTGTGACTGTAATAGTAGGCCACATCAATTGTGCACCCTCGGTGTTCCAGTTTGGGGAGGGGAGAGATTATTACCTCATTTAATCCTACTCTGTGAAGTAGGCAGCTTGATCCCCTTTTACACATGAAGGCACTACGAGTTAACTTGCTCAAGGGCAGGTAGCTAATGGTCATGGTCAAAGACCAGGATTCACACTTTAGAAAGTCTAACAGCAGAGCCAGACTCTTTCTGACTCTGAGGGGCCCTTTCTACACCACAGCACCTGGCATACAGAAGGTGCCAAACAAGGGCTTGTCCCATTCTTCTGGTCTGGTTGGCAGCTGGAGGAGTACCTTTGGATTGAAATAACAGCCCATATTACTGAGTCCTTACCATGTGCTGGACACATTCCCTACATTGTCTCAGTTACTCCTGTGTGTTACACACAAAGTGGGCTGGGAACCTAGGTTTTAATCTCCTAATCCACTGTTGTTGTTTTGGTATGTTGTTATTTTTTATTTTATTTTATTGTGTTTATTTTTATTTTTATTTTTTGCTTAAGTTTGGCTCCTCTGTTATGCGAAAGCAATGACCAAATAGTCAAATACTGGTCAGATGCATGAGATTTTCATATGACTTCCTCTGAGAGGGCAGAAGTATGTGGGAGAGGGCACTGGGTACCTAAACAGTTCCTCCACTTAGTTTCTATTCACCTTCACACAGTAGCATCCTCAGAGCCTCTCACAGAATTCAGGGTGATTACTGGCCCTCGTGAAAACCCAGCCTCCAGAACCCGACTGCCTAGACTTGAACCCAAGTTTCTTGCTCTATAACTTGGGGTTGAGTTTTGCATCCTCTGTCTTCATTTTGAGCATCTGTAAAATGAGGGTAATAATAACACCTTCCTTGTAGGGTTATCATGAGGATTAAATGAAATGTTTGGTGCATAGATTTAGCACAATGCTTGATACATAGTAAGAGTTGGGTTAGAATTGCTGCTATTGTTGTTATTACAATTATTCTCAGGTACCTATTGAATATGCACCATGTAACTGTTGAATTGAAGTCAAAGCTGAGCAGCCTTACCTCATCTCTGGCGCCCTTGGCAAATGCCAAGTGACCCCGTGCCATAATTGAGGGAAAGGAACCCTAGATCGCTTTAAATCCCAATGAGGGAGTCGGCAGCTCTTTATCTCTCTGCTTTATTCCCTTTGCCAGCCAGTAGAATTGGAGTGAGAGAATAGGCTGGAGGGCCGGCCAGTGCAGTTTCAAAAGAGCTATAGAAACAAGTTGTTTTTTTCTCTGCTCTGTTTTCCTGACAAGGGAGGCCCCTCCCTAGCTTCCAGCCCTTTTCTTTTCACCTCCTACCACCTCCCTCACCCCCACTACCATCTTCTGCTCCAGCCTTTCTTGGCCATTTAATTAGCGTGTTTATTCCCTTTGTCTGGCATTGCCATCGACCTTCTGTCGTCCAGTGGCCCCTCCCTGCACCCCTCGCTGCCCATGACCTCTTCAAGAAACTTTCCCACGGAAAAAAAGAAGACCAGGGAGGGTGGGAGAGGTGGGATGGAGAGAAGGGTTTGGGGGAACAAAAGACCCTGTGAATTATTCAGGGACACAAGCAGGGGGCTTCTAAAGGGAAGAGGGGAGGGCTGTGCAGGGGAGGGCGAGAGTCGCCCCTCTGGCCCTCTGCTCCAGAATTAAGGCTTCTCTATCTCCAGTGAGGCCATGGTTGCTGGAGAGACAAGACCATTGTTCTGCCTGAGGATTTCTGGGTTGGCTCATGACCCCAAGAGAAACACTGGCTCTTGCCAGGGCATCTGCAGAGCTGTTCTTCCGTCTTCAATTCCCCTCCCCTGCCAACTTACCAGCTCTTCTCTTTCCTAGTTTTATATTTTAGGGACAGAAATTAAAATTTGCACCCTCCATAACTGGGATCAACCAAACTGAATAGGGGGCAGAGGAATTGGCTTCAGATTGGTCCACAAGTGGATAGGCAGACAGCTTCAACTGAGCTGAGTCGCCCGGAAGACACAAAAGCATGCCTGCCATGGGGCTGCTCATTTCCAGAAGGAAGGTTCAAGCATATGAAGCTGAAGCTCCAACAGGGTGTGACCAGTGTGGACTCTGTGGGTCAGTCTCCGTGGTTCTCATTTTAACCAATAACAGTGGGGGAGGGATGGTGAGTTTTTGCTAACTGGGCAATCCTAAGTACCGCCCAACACTCAACTTGACATTTTACACTTGATGCCCTCAAGAACCTGAGAAAATTGGACTACTACAGCAAAAGAAGACTGTATCAAGCCCAACTTCCTCTTACAGTTGGGAAACAAAAATGTAATAATCACCCAAATTCACATAGGGCTTGGCTATTTACAAAGAATTTGCTCCAGATCCTCCATCCTCACAGGGGCCCCAGCCAGGAAGAGCAGAAAGGCTGTGGTGGCCTTCCCAAAAACACATGTCACTGCTCAGCTGGATTGGAAGGCGACTTCCAGGCCCCTTGGCTGGGGGAGAGGCTCCTTCCTATATACCCTTCTGTATTTCATAAACAAATACCCCCTTCTTCCCCAAGTCCCAGTGCCACCAGAATCCAGTGACAAACCCTTCTGCCATGCTACCCCTTTCCTGGCATAGCAGGGACACCCACCTCTCCCACAGTGTTCACAGGAGTCCCAGGCCTCAGGTGCAGACCCTCCCTCTCTCCAAACCTTGCCTCTACCCAGAATTCTTGGGCTGCCTTGGGGGTTGCTGTGCAGGTTGGAATATTTCCTGGTTAAGCAGATTGGGTGTGGAAACCTGCCAGTCCAGTTTGTGGGAACAAAGGTAGCTTTTGTCACCCAGATCACAACTACTTATCAGTGGGAGTGGGGGCCTTGGAGTGGTGAAGGAGTCAGGCAGGTGCGGGGCTGGGTGGGGTGCTGCCCCCTGGTGGGGAGCAGGACAGACACAGAAGGCCAGACCTCCACTCCCAGCCTCCGCAGCCCCTGTGAGGAAGCGACTCAGCTATGGGTGGAGGACTGAGTTCTTGAGTACTGGGGTGGGAAATTGTCAGAAAAATCTCCTCAGCATCTTCTAACCCCAGATTTTTACAGGTCTATAGATAAGGATGCTGAGGCTCAGAAAACTTATTGGATTATATGAGATGTTACTTGCAGGAGTGAGATTTGAACCCAGTTTTCCTGGCTCCCAGTCCACCATATCATGCCTGTCCCCGAAGAGCAGGTCACAGGGTCCAGAATCTAGACCATGCTCTTTTGCTGGCCTACATTCCCTTGTTTTGAATTCCCCTCCCCCTCATCTGGTTTGATTTATCCTAGGGTCAGTTTCTGGGGAAAAGAATCCCTTAGTGGCCTGCTGAGACACAAATACTCCCACACATTTGTTGTTTGCACATCCTTCTCACAACGCTGTGCACATGTAATGGTCCCTGGGCAGGAACAAGGGCCCTGGAAGACTCAGCATCACCCGGGAAGCCCCCCTGGGCATGTGGGGCTCAGACAGAACCAATGCCCAGCCTTGAGGTCCCTCTGAGCTCTGCCGCCTCTTAGATGTGTGTGTATTCCTTCAGTCTCTGAGCTTCACGTACTCTGTCTGCAGTATCAGGTGACCAGATGATTTAGACATAGGAGCACGGGGTCATAGGCGGCTGAAACAGTGGGCTCTCAAACCAGATTTCCTGCATTCAGATCCTTAGCTGTGCGATCTTTATCAAGTTGGCTTCACCGCTCTGTGCCTCAGCTTCCCTGCCTATGAAAGTAGGGTTGATCATAATAACACCTCTTGCGTAGGTTGCTGGAGGGATTGGGTGACTTACAATACATACTGTGAGCAATGAGACGCGTCGGGTACAAGGCAGGCTCTGTGCATGTTAGCGATTATAACACAAGGATAAAGGCTCACCACAGGCTGTCTTGTTCACTGCTGTGTCCCTGGCTCACTATGAGTGATCAAAGAAACAAATAATAAACAATGTAAGTAAACAAATCAACATGCTCTCTTTCCCTCCTCCTGTTTTCCCAGCACCACCCTGCTCCCATAGCAGAACGGCCAGCTTCTCAGGCTGCCTGGCTCCTGGAGTCATCTGTGACCCAGTGCATTGGCCTCTCCAAGCCCACATCTTCCTCCAAGCCCAGCTGTGGAAGCCTGGGTGGTGAAGGGGGTGGGAGAGATGGCGCAAGACTGAGGCCCACATGTCCCCTATTTTTCTAGTTGGCGCCGGGAGACCTCGTCTTTCCCATGCAGCTGTGCCGTCTCCTCTCCAGCTTGGCTTGAGTTGCTGGGAGAGGAACAGAGAGACGAGGAGGTTTTGCCTGATATTTATATTTCTCAGGGAGTGGGAGAAGTAACAGCTGTTGAGCAATGGTTTCCAAATGTCGGACTGGGGATTGGTGGCATCTGCATCCTCTCCACAGAAGCTTGTCAAAATGCAAGTTCTTGTGCCCCAGTGCAGGCTTGGGGCTTTGGCTCTTTCAAAGCTTCTTAGGTGGCTCTGATTCCACCAAGGTTTGGACTTGTTTCTTTATACTTTTATTCCTTCAGTAAATGTTCATGGAATGCCTACTAGTGTCAGGCTTTTGAACAAAATGGACAAAGAAATTTGCCCTTGGAGAGCTTAGATTCTAGAAAGGAAGATAATAAGAAGCAACTTATTTTAAAAGATCATGAGTTCCGGGGGGGGGGGGGGAGGAATTAAAAACATAGCAGTATACGAGGGTTTGGGAGTCCCAGGGTAAGATAGATGAGCTGATAGCAGTACCAAATAAGATGGTCTCAAGGACCTCATTGAGAAGGCAAGATATGAGCCAAGAGTGAAGGAGTTCTAGGAGGGAGCCAAGAATGTATCTGGTGGAAAAGCATTTTAGGCAGAGGGAACAGCACATGCAAAGGCTCTGAGGCCGGAAGTGCCAATCATGTAAGAGGAACAGGCAAAGAGGCAAGTTATAGGAGGAAGAGCAGAGAGAGAGGAGGATTGGGGTGAAGAGCATGGACAGAACATTCAGGGCTATTAGGCCTTTCTAAGACTTTGAATTAACTGAGGAAAGCCATTTTGAGTTTTAAGGTTCTGAGTGGAGAGTGACATGGTCTGACTTAGTTTTAAGATATCATGCCTCTGGCTATGATGCCCTTGTAATTAGCTAGTTATTAATGATAAAAAAAAAAAAAGGAGCAAAGGGAAGGCCAGACATTATAGGCATGGTTATATGGGCAGCTTCACTAGGAAGCTGCAACTTTGCACTCCCCAGAGAACTACTGGTCCTTTCCCTGAAGATTACTGGGGAAAGGGTTTCAACAAAGAGGAGATAGACGTACACACAGTAAAGTTGGGGTGACTAGAGAAGTCAAAACTGGGGAACCATGGATTGGCCAGAATGGGTGGAGCCAATGCAAGCCCCAGAAAATTTTGGAATACATAATGCCCTAAACCAGTGGTTCTCAACCTTTCTAATGCCTCGACCCTTTAATACATTCCTCATGTTGTGGTGACCCCTAACCATAAAATTATTTTCGTTGTTACTTTATAACTGCAATTTTGCGACTGTTATGAATCATAATGTAAATAACTGTGTTTTCCCATGGTCTTAGGCTCTATAGCAGCGGTTGCCAACCTGTGGGTTGTGACCCACAGGTTGAGAACTGCTAGCAGGGTCATCTGCTGTGTGATCTTTATCAAGTTGGCTTAACCTCTTGGAAAACACAGATATTTACATTATGATTCATAACAGTAGCAAAATTATAGATATGAAATAGCAACGAAAATAATTTTATGGTTGGGGGGGTCACCACAACATGAGGAACTGTATTAAAAGGTCGCGGCATTAGAAAGGTTGAGAACCACTGAGTTTAAAAGAAAGGGATTCTCTCGCTTGTTTCTCTAGACACTTGGTTCTTGGCTTCCTTGCATTTACCTGTATGGCCCCTAGCCATGCGGGTCCCACACACAATGGACTAAGAGGGAAACCTAAACCAAGCTAGTTTGAACTTGGTTCCCACATGGTAAGGAAACTCTGAACACTGGCTTTAATTTTAGCTCTGCTGAAGCCCCAGCTACATTTCTTCTATTGCTGGACTGAAGGAAACGGGACCTTGGAAACTCCAGGGAAATAAAACTTTCTACAATAGCTCATCCTCATGTGCAAGTCTCAGAAAATTCTTTCTCAGAATATTGCAAGAAATCCACCCCCACTAGCAATAAGCTGGGACAAGGACCTCTCCCCACTGGTCACACTAAGAACTTGCTGCATCTTTAGTAGGGACAATTAGTTTCTGTGAGAAAGGGGAGCACTTCACTGGGGGAAATTTTGAGGTCCCACCACTGACTCATTTTGTCCCACTTGTTAAAACCATAACGCATCTGCTCTTTTCTTCCACAGGGTCCCCACCGTCCCAGTGAAGAACCTAAATGGGTCCAGTCCTGTCAATCCTGCCTTGGCAGGTAAGAGAAACCTTGGGCTAGTCTTGTTGAAGGTAGAAAAATGAGTGATGAAATAGGTAGTGAGCATTTGTAAAAATAATAATAATAATTAAAAAATTAAAAAAAAAAGAGAGAGAGAGAGATCATTTGGATGTTAATTTAAACAAATGGGGATTTTAGGAGTTGGGTTGGATGAGTAGGAAGAACTTGGGGAGATTGATTGCTAAAAGGAAAGCATGTTGTTGAAGTGGAGTGAGTGAATCTGTTTCTGGAAAAAGTGGAGGGTAAGTAGAGAATCCCTGCATTATGAGAATTCTGCAGAGAGGAGGAGAGGAGGTTTATGGGGAGGGAGGAGTTGAGGGGGTGTTGGGAAGCTAATTCTCCAGTCCTTCCTGACTCTTGCTCTGCCCTTCCAGGCATCACTGGGATCCTCATGAGTGCAGCGGGGCTGCCTGTGTGTCTCACCAGGCCACCAAAGTTGGTCCTCCACCCACCCCCCGTCAGCAAGAGCGAAATAAAATCCATCCCAGGGGTTTCCAATACAAGCCGCAAGACCACCAAAAAACAAGCCAAGAAAGGTATCAGCCTCCTTAACTTATGGCTTCTGGCCCTAGCTCTGCCTCCATCCCCATGGCTTACCCACTCTGTGCCTTAATTTCTGCATAGGCTAAGCAGGCCTAACTCATACCTATTCTGGTGATTTTACCACAGTAGAGTGTATATGGGTCAGATGGAGACTTCTTAAGAAATATAGCAATATAGTGCAAAATTATAGAAACATAAAAATATGAAGTGTGACACAAATGAAATATACTAGAGAGAAAGACCACCTTGGAATTAGAACTAAAATAGACTAAATTCAAGTCCCAACTCTGTCATTTGCAAGTCATGACCTCAAAGAACCTCTGTTTTCTTTCCCCTTTACTTGGAGTGAAACCAGTCACCACTAGTATCCAACAAGGATGTCCTGGAATGCATCCATGACAGTTGGCAAGTGGCCATGGTTTTGTGTCCCTCTCAAGCCCCCAGATGCTCTGGCCACTTGAACCCCCATTCAGGAGCTCCTTCCCATCTGCTCACAATCCCAAAACTAAGGGATCAATACCTGTGCCTGCCCTGGTACCAAAGGACCCTGCCTCAGCCCTGTGGCTGGTCTTTCTGGTCACTGGTATTGGTGGCTCTATGTATTGACTGTCACCCTTAAGGCTCCACCTTGCAAACATATTACTAAGCAGGACAGTGGGAAGGAAGGGCCGGCATTGAGCTTTGGGCTGTTGCCCGGTCCACTTCCTCAAACCCTTGTCCTACTTTTCTAGTCTATCAGACTTTCTCTGCTTAAATAAACTTGATTGCCTTGCTCATAATATGATAGGAAATGACAGGAATTTGCACTTTCCCACTCTTCCTGTTATTATTAATAGCACATATTAGATCCTTAGCTGGCAATGTGCTAAAAGGGCTGTACGTCCATTCGCTCATTTAATTGTCAAAACCGCTCTTCGAGTAGATGCTATTGCTCCTCCCCATTTTATAAGTGAGAAACGGAAACTTAGAGAGATAAGAGAGTCGCCTAAGGAGGCACTGACCCTTTTTCCTTCTTTGCCTGCTTGTGAAGTCAGATCATTTCATTCCCTGCCTTTAGGCTAGGTTGTCTCCCAGGGGTGAAGTCCCCAAAGAAATTCCACAATCATTGACCTGGCAGGGTCCTTCTCAGCGCATCAGCCTTTTCCCTGCTGCGGGGCTACATCTGCTGGCAGCGACTGCACTGTCAACAGCCAGGGAAGACCGTTCTGAAGCTGTGGTCACAAGCTCCTGGTTTCCCATGAAAATAATATCACTTTGATGCCACAATGAAGAATGAGACAGTGTTTGGCACATTCTACCTAAATTTTTTAAAGCCTGTAACAGTATACAGAGATCTTTTATTTCTGCTCTCTTCACGTTGTTTGGGCAGGTACGGGCTCTTTATATGGAAGAGAAACCCACTTAGTCTTTCTCACTAAAAAGTGGGTTTGTTGCCAACAGGCAGGGGATGTCAAGGAAGTGATACAGAAGGTAAAGGCAAGTGGGACCACTTCCTACCTCCTCTGGCCACCTCTCTGCCTCATCTGCCCCCTGATTCCCTTTCAAATTCTTAAATCCTGTTGCAAAATGAATTTTTTTTTCCTCTCCTGCTGTAAACCTGGCTGATAAGGTTCTCCTCTGGTATGTCCAGCTTGGTGAAGCTATTTGATCCCTCGTCTCAGTCTCAGTGGCACAATGACCATCCTGTCCCTACAGGTAAAACCCCAGAAGAAGTGCTGAAGAAGTATCTGCAGAAGGTCCGGCACCCACCAGATGAGGTGAGTGCAGGGGAGGCAGGGCAGGGCTCACCTTCTCCATCACCCACCAGCAATTCCTCCTCCAGAATTTTTGTACCACACGGCAAGAGCTGCTTGCTGAGTCCTGACAGGTCCAGAACAGGTCAGATGCACTCCCACCTGGGCTCCGAGCTGCAGTGCAATCTCTCTCATCTCCCCATCCAGCAAAGATCTGATTGATTCTAAGCTGTAATAACACAACAGTCTGAATTTGAGAAAAGCAGAATGATGAGTAGTTAGAACTGACTTTAAAATGGGCTGGATGAAGGTCAGTGGTTCTCAACCAGAGGTGGTTTTGCATAACTTTGGGGGTGGGCAGAGGGAATGCTAGAGGCCAGGGATGCTGTTAAACACCCTCCAATACCCAGGACAGCCCTGCAGCAAAGGATTACCCAGCCCCTATGTCAATAGTGCCAAGGATGAAAAACCCTGTTATAGATTTCTTTAAATAGCATTCCCTCTAGTACACTAGAATTATAATTCCTTTACCCAATTTCAGCTTAAAGAAAGCTAATCAATGGGCCTGTCAGCAGACATTCATTTCCTTCACAAGCTATGGAAGGACAGTGTATCATCCCAGCTCACAAGGAGGTTGTAATTTTTTTTGGCCAGCTCCAAGTTAACATGTTCTGACACCAGGAATTATTTCTGGAATTCTTCTGTTGTGTAAAGCAAGACAAAACTATATTTAGATTCCCAAAGGCCCTTATACCCTAGTTTGTGGGCTTTCTAGAAGAGGACCAGTAACAGCTCACCTGATCATTCAGGAACCAACAAGGGGATGCTCCAACTTCCCAGGCTGGGAGAGGCTTGATGGCCTGTCTGCTCTGTCCCTCCCCTACCTCCACCCCCAGGACTGCACCATCTGTATGGAGCGCCTCACAGCTCCCTCAGGCTACAAGGGCCCGCAGCCAACGGTCAAGCCTGACCTGGTGGGAAAGCTGTCCAGATGCGGCCACATCTACCACATCTACTGCCTGGTTGCCATGTACAACAATGGCAATAAGGTGAGTGCCCACATGTGGGGCTACTGCCACCTCCACACTGGGCCCTGGAGGAGCAAGAACATGAAGGCTCTCTTGGAGTTGTGCTCCAGGTGATGTAGGGAGTCTTAAGGCATCCCAGGGCATCAGGAGTAGTCATCTTGTCTGTTCTCAGTAGGATCTGTCCTCCACAAAATTATAGTGTGTTGCAAAACCTGTCTTTAGCCTGGCTGGCGTGGCTTAATGGTTATGAGTCGACCTATGAACCAGGAGGTCACAGTTTGATTTCTGGTCAAAGCATATGCCCAGGTTTCGGGCTTAATCTCCATTGTGAGGCATGAAGGAGGCAGCCATTCAATGATTCTCTCTCATCTTTGATGTTTCTCTCTCTCTCTCTCTCTCTCTCTCTCTCTCTCTCTCTCTCTCTCTCTCTCTCTCTCTCCCCTGCCTCCCCTCTGAAATCAATTAAAGTAAATTTTTTAAAAAACAAAACACCTGTATTTTTCTTCCCTGTGGGCTATGCTACTCAACCCCCCAATATCTTTGCTAGGTGTGGTGGTCTGAGAAGTATAGACTTCTGTCCCTGAGGTTTTTGTGGGGAATGGTCCATTGTCATGGTCCATTGCTAGGTGAAATAAGCCCTATCAATGAAGGAGAAGGGAGTTCTCAGCACAGCACTGGGCCCATGATAAGTGTTCATTCATACTGGCATTAATGGGTTTCCCAATCATCCTTCCTTCTCTAAGACTAGTGATTTCCATTTATAATTCACTTTCTTTGGACATTTTCATACACCCTTGATTGCCCCTTCAAAGGCATTATGGACTGCTGCCAAGGTCGGCCTGGATGCTGGAGGCAAGGAGGCTTCGATGCCCGTCTTATCCATTAATGAAGGTGGTGTGGTAATCCCCCCATTAGAGCTAGTTTCTGAGAATCTGGGAATATCCTTGGATGATAACTCTCTCTTTACAATGTCCCAGCTTTTTCTAAGTCCTTGCCTTTTCTAGTGTACTTTCCTATACCTGGAATAACCTTAAACCCCCATCTCCATGAATTCAAACTCTATTTGTTTCTCCAGGCCCAGCTTGGATTGCTTCAGATCTGAGAACTCCCAGATCTCCTCTAACCTCTTAACTCATCCAAAAAAAATGTCTGGCTTTCAGGGGACAGCTGTGTGCTTCTCTTGCTATGGGAAGAGTAAGCCAAGAGAGACAGCTGACCCAAGATTGAACCCTGGTTTAGTAGCTGAATGATCTGGGGCAAGATTTTCAACTCTGAGATTTCATTTTCCATCTGGAAGATGGAGATAAAACAATGCCAGTTCATGGGGTGTTATTACTAGTATGATTCAAATTGATTCCTCCTTTGTGTTAACTATGGCTATAATTTTTCCCTTCATCTTTATGTGACCTTATGATTGATTTTTCGAAGTGCTAGGGACCTTTCTCAATGTCTTAGAAAGTGTATGTTCAGTCACTGAAGGGTGATGCATATCTGGAACCCTTGCACACTTTTCTGATCCTAAAGTAAAAGGTTTCTTTGGGATTTTGCATTTTTAGAGGTTGTTTCAGGCTTCAAGGGATTTCTTAATATACTTTCCTTTTGATGACTATATTCAGATTTAATCTAGTACCGCTTTGCATTGATTTAAAAATGTTTCTTTAGACACTATCCTTTATTCTCTTTGGCACTAATACTTTGAGTATTGGGTGTGTTGTTTTGTTGTTTTACACAAGGTCATGAAGCAGATTAAGGCCAGAGCAGAGAGTGGACCCTTCCTAACCCCAAGCCTTGGGTTTCTGTTCCTTGATCACATGGAGTAATTGCCATGAATACAAGCTGTGCCTTTAAATGAGTAGAGCTTGAATGGAAATATCCCTAAATAGTTCCACAGAGGATTCCTGCCTTCCCAACGAGATGCAGGTGTCCTGGAGAGCTTCGGTCCCAGCTGTGCAGCAGCATTTTTACACACACTCCCTGTGCACTCACTCCTTCCTTCTTCTCATTCCATTTCTTCTTGGGAATTTGGGAATAGAATTTACTGTCCAGGTTCTCTTTCCCTCAGATGACACCTTACCAGTCCCTGCTGTGAAAAGTGACCCCTTATATCACAACAGCCAAACTCCCTTCACACACACACACACACACACACACACACACACACACACCAACAGAGCCCTAAGGTGCAGTGCAAAGCCTGGTCTCTCTCTCAAGGACAGGGTCTCCCTTACATGTCCATAGAATGGGGTATGGGGCTAATAGTAGAATTTGTCTCCTGCTACTTTAGAGAAAGCAAAAATAGCCTTGGTAGCCAAGTGGGGGTAGGACAACTAAGGTCTGTTACTCATTTGGGTGTATTTTGTCCCCAGGCCCTTTTTCTATGGTACCTTTTGGGGTTGGGTGGGGAGGTCATTACCAAAACTGTTTTCCAGTTTGGTTGAACTGGCCTTGTCTCCTCAGGATGGCAGTTTGCAGTGTCCAACCTGTAAGACTATTTATGGGGTGAAAACAGGCACCCAGCCTCCAGGGAAGATGGAATACCACCTCATCCCCCACTCGTTGCCTGGCCACCCAGACTGTAAAACCATCCGGATCATCTACAGCATCCCCCCTGGCATTCAGGTGAGCCCATCCTCAGCCATCAGCTGTTATCATTTTAAATGTTTGTAAGTAAATGTTTGTCTTAGTCCATTCAGGCTGCAGTAACAAAATACCACAGGCTAGATGGCTTTTAAACAGCATAAATTTATTTCTGAGGCTAGGAAGTCCAAGGTCAGCATGCAAGCAGATTCAATGTCTGCTGAGGGCCTGCTTCCTGGTTCATAAACAGCCATCTTCTTGCTGTGATCTCATACAGTGGAAGGGGAGAGGGAGCTTCTTGGGATCTCTCTTATAAAGCACTAATCCCATTCACGAAGGTTCCACCTTCCTAACCTAATCAGCTACCAAAAACCCCCACCTCCTAATACCATCTTGTTGGGGATTAGGTTTTAACATATCAGTTTTGGGAGGACACAAACTTTCAGTCTACAAGCATTCCACCCCTGCCCTTTCCAAACGCGTGTCCTTCTTGAATTAATTTATTCTATCTCGACAAACTCAAAAGTCTTAACTCACTCAAGCATCAACTTTAAAGTCTATATCCAAAGTCTCATCTAAATAGCACCTAAATCAGATAGCGATGAGACTCAAGGTACAATTCAACAAGTTCTCCACCTATGAATTTATGAACCAAACAAGTTATGTGGTCGAGCCTCACCAGACACTGAATCTGCAGGCACCTTGATCTTGGACTTTCCAGCCTCCAGGACTATGAGAAATAAATTTCTGTTGTTTGAAAGCCACCCAGTGTGTGGTATTTTGTTAGAGCAGCCCAAACTGACTAATATTATTATACCCTGAATAGTCTTCTTTCCACTCTCATCCCCCATCTACGGGGTCTCCCCCTCCCCCACTCTCCACCATTGTGCTTACTTCCTTTTCTCTCCTTCCCGTATGCTTTGTGCAAATGCAGCAGACTGCATCCACTCCTCCCATTTTTACACAAAGCGTGACATATTAGACATATTGTTCTGCGCCCTGCATTTTTCAATGAACAATGTAGACTGTATATCTTCCCTTGTCCGCATAGAGAGAGCTTCCTCATTCTTTCTCAGCTCTGCGTGATAATCCATTGTATAAAGCTACCGTAATTCATATTCAACAGTCTCCATTTGATGGGCATATGGATTGTGTCCAATCTTTTGCTACAACAAATAACGCTGTAATGAATAACCTTGTACGCATGTGAGTATGTCTGTAGAATAATTTTCTAGAAGTGGAATTTTCTTGTCAAATGGTATTAGCATTTGTAATTTGATAGCTATTCCTTGGCTCTGATTTTTGTGGGCATTTATTTCCTCTTTTGATTCTTTGAAAGACGGTCCCAAGGAACAAATTGAACAATTTTCCTGGCAGTCAATACAGACGCATTCCTTTGTCACACACCGAAGCTTTTTCTAAATGCTCCAGGGTGCTTACTGGATTCATTTTGTTAGTAAATATTTATTAGTCCACCCTCCCCTTCCCTCTCTTCCTTGCCTTTTTCATTTTTTCTTTCATTTAACAAACATTTGAGTGTGGGTTATGAGCCAGACATGTTCTAGATGAAAGAGAAACAATGGTGAGCAAAAGGGACACCGTTCTTGCTCCCCGGAAGTCCCCATCCTAGTGGGAGAAGGATAACAATAAAGTAAACAAATAAATAAACAAGGTTCTTTCAAATAGTGAGACTTGATGTGGGAGAAACAAAACAAGGGGATGTGATAGCCCATAAAATAATTGAATGAAAAACATAGTACTTCTTCAAGGGACCTACCAACCAGTTGGGGGGAAATTAGCTGTACATCACCAAGCTATAGAGCAAAGAGGAAATGCACCATCAGTAAAAGCTGTGGGTGGCTTCCAATTCCTTCTGATCCTCACCAGCTGGGGACCTCAGACAGCCACATGACCTTCCTGGCTCAGTTTCTTTATCTGTGCAGCCAAGAACGTATTATGCAGGGGTTTTCTGAGGATGGTAGCTATCATTTTATGTGCATATTGTGGTGCTGGGTACAGCACTGTGGTGCCCAATCTCTGGTCACCACCGTTATGGGAGTATCCTCATTATTGGAGTATCCCACTTGTCTGGGTAAGGAGGGCCTATCTCTGGCTCACTGGGAGGGTCAGAGGAGACTTTCTGGAGCAGGGCAACTGCTAGTAGGCTCTGAAAGACATGACGAAATGGAGAACAGAAGTTTTAGTAGGAAGCAACCATAGAGTCCCAGAGGAGAAAAGGTGGGGGTGTTGAAGGGTCATGAGGAAGTGTTTCATTCAGGGCATCCCTGGTTAAGGTCGTGATTTCATTGCCCTTTCTCAGCCCAGGGAGGCTTGCGCTTTCGTGACGAGTGGAGACCTTCAGATCGGCCTTCACTGCAGAGAACAGTTCCCTGGGGGAGAAACTCAAGCCCAGTCGTGACTGCTTTGCTTAGCAATGCACCGGGAGCACTCAGCCTTGCTGGGTCAGCGCCAGCAAGCGTCTGTGCCTTCGCAGTTCGGGCCTGTCCCAGGCAGGAGAGCAGTGGGCAGAGCCCTGCAGGGAACTGGACCCTTAGTAAGGCAAACTGGCTCAGAAACAGGCGTGGCCATGGGGATGTGGCAAACGTGGAGTGATTTCATGTGAATATGAAATTCAGGACTGTGCAGTCCTGCATCTCCAAGAAGACACGATAGCTCTTTCTGAGACCCCCACACACTTACAATGCCGTTTGATTTGCAAAGTCATAGGTTGAACCAAGCCATTAAAAACATTTTAAATTCCAGAATTTTAAAAAATCATTTTGGAATCATCCTTGTGCATCAAAAAAGAAAATGATGACTGTGATTTCTTGTAGTTTCCTACATTCACACACTCATTCATTCACCAGGACACATTCACCGATCATCTGTGTGGGGAGCCAGTACCAGAACAAGCGTGGAATTATTAATATTATATTGGAGGGGTTCAGCCTGTTTCAATCCGGGAGGCCAGGGGAAGGGGCTGCAGGCAGTTGCCCAGCCCCACCCCCTGAATGGGCTGGGAAGGTGCAATCAGGGGTGGGGCCAGCCAGGGGGAGGGGGCAGTTGGTCTTCCCCTATGGTGGGGAGGGGGGAGGAAGGATGGGGAACAGGGCCACTGGAGTTGAGGCCATGGGCGGTGAGCTGGCCAGCTCCACCCCCTGGTCAAACTCCCAGTTGAGGAGATAATTTGCATATTATCTTTTTATTATATAGGATTATATTGGTTATATATTATATCTGGACGAGATGTTAAAACAGATTTAACAAATTCTGAAGGGGTCTGAGATAATCAGAAACAATACACAAACATTTGTATATAATGGAAAAGATATGTCACTTTTGATGAATTTCTCAAAGGGGCCTATGGACCCTGACTTGACATCCTGGTTTCTGGCTACATTCTGCTTTAATTTCTTTTCCAACCAGTGGCCTGAGACTGCTTCATGGGACTGGGTGATAACAGTTGAAATACTGTTAGATGTTTAGTCATGAATTTCCCAATCCGTATTATTAAACAAGAAAACAAACCAAAACACACACACACACACACACACACACAACACACACACACAACAACAACAACAACAACAACAACAACAACAAACAACCATGAGGACAAAGGAGAAAATGCACAAAAATCATTCAGATCATGTTGACTGTGCAGCTCAAAGCCAGAGGCACCTGTATTGTTCTGAGTGGTTTGGAGGTAAAAAGTCCAGAGTGTGCCTCAGAGATCCTGGGCTTGAGTTTTGGCAAAGCCACTAACACTATGGAAGTCATTTCTCCTGTGAGGGCTGTATTTCTCTTTTGTAAAATCAGTCAGAATAGATATGATGCTAAACATGCACTGAGCTCTTCATAGGCAAGCAGACACCACACTCGCTTAACATTCATAACAACCACACAAGATGAGATTCTACATCTGTACTGTTTAATGGCTGGGAAATCAACGCCCCAAGAGAAGGCTCCAACTGACACAGCTGGGAGGTTGCAGCTTGAGTCCAAGCCCAGGGCTTCACTCCTGCTGCCTTTGGGTCTATTCTCTGTCCAGACCCTAAGACCATTATTATTGTCTTCATTATTTCCATTAGTCACATCCTACATCTCCTTATCAGAAATACGTCGAAAAATGCCTTTTGTTGCCTGACTGGTACGCATCAGTGGTGAGCCTTGACCTATGGACCAGGAAGTAATGGTTTGGTTCTTGATTGGGGCACTTGCCCAGCTTTCAGACTCAATTTCCAATAGGGGGCATGCAGGAGGCAGTTTTTTCTCTCTCTTCATTGATGTTTCTATCTCTTCCTTTCCCTACTTCTCTCTGAAATCATCCTATCTAATAAAGGAGTAATATGCAAATTGACAGTCTCTCCAACACACAAGATGGCCGCTCCCACATGGTCAAAGATGACTGCCCCATGTGGACACAAGATGGCCCGCAGAGAAGGGCATTTGTGGGCAATCAGGCCAGCAGGGGAGGGACCAGGCCTGCAAGGGAGGACAATGGGGGCCATCAGGCTAGCATGGGAGGACAGTTAGGAGTGACTGGACCTTCAAGGGAGTACAGTTTGGGGGGAGGGAAGTTTAGGGAGTACAGGCCTATAGGGGAGGGAAGTTTAGGGAGCCAGGCCTGCAGGGGAGGACAGTTAGGGGTGACCAGGCTGGCAGGGGAGGGCAGTTAGGAATGACCAGACCAGCAGGGGAGGGCACTTAGGGGCAATTGAGCCAGCATGGGAGCAGTTAGGCGTCAATCAGGCTAGCAGAGTGGTTAGGGGATAATCAGGCTGGCAGGCAGAAGCAGTTAGGGGCTATCAGGCAGGCAAGCAGGCAAGCAAGCGGTTGGGAGCCAACAGTCCTGGATTGTTGGGAGCCAACAGTCCTGGATTGTGAGAGGGATGTCCCAGATTGGAGAGGGTGCAGGCTGGGCTGAGGGACACACACACCCCTGTGCATGAATTTCATGCACCAGGCCTCAGGCCTCATGTGCGTGTGTGTGTGTGTGTGTGTATGAATATATATGTATATATGTAAATGTATATGTGTATATAAAAACTGATTTTTTTAAATGCCCTTTGTTTTCTTTCTTTACTTTCAGGGACCAGAACATCCAAATCCTGGGAAGAGCTACAGTGCCCGTGGTTTTCCGAGACACTGTTACCTTCCAGACAGCGAGAAAGGGAGAAAAGTAAGAGCCCGAGTATCAGGTTATTGATTTCTATATTAGGGACCCAAGTTTTGCTTCCAAGGTAAAGAGAACGGTGTCTTTCTTAGCTCCAGATGTACATGGTCACAAGATCATAGTTGAGTCAACCATAGGTAAGGATGGATATGATTAGAAATTTTTTTGTAGGATGCTGGGGGTGGCAATAATTAACCTATTTTAGAATCCTTCCCTTAGGACTTTGCTGCTTAACAGCTGGTCCTAGGACCAACACCGTGGCAACATCTGGAAAGCTTGATTGAAATTCAGAACCATAGAACCTGCTTCATTTTAATAAGATCCCAGGTGATCTGAGAGCACATTAAAGCTTGAGAAGCAGTGCTTTGAGGCAGGGAACAGTGGCTCATAGTGTTCATGTCTACTATTATTATTACTACGATTTCCCACCTTCAGCCCACACCATGTCTATGGTCGTTCAGTTTTAACCCAATGCATTTTTATCAGGTGCCTTCTTCATGCTGGACACAGTGTTAGAGGCATTTATTTGTCTTGCTTAACAAAGATATATATATATATATATATATATATATATATATATATATATATATATATATATATATATATATTACCTGAATTAGAACACTCTGCAAGCTCTAACATCTCTCTGGGCCTCACCTGTAAAATAGAGATAATTAAGCAGCAGCCAGACCTCACTCAAAGTGTGGGTGTGAGGACCAGATGAGCAAATAAATATGAATTAGCCTTGAAGAGGTCAAAGCATTTCAACCTTGTCATTGCAGAAATATCCCACAACATCAGCTGTGGGTAAATGAATACCACATTCATGTGGGGGTGTCAGGTTATTTACATCAATGTTAGGGACCCAAGCAAAACTTGGAGGTGGGGGGTGGAGTAGGGATGGTAGGCACAGTTTCAGAAGTGTCTTGAGCCCTAGCTGGTTTGGCTCAGTGGATAGAGAATTGGACTGCAGGCTGGAAAGTCCCAGGTTAGATTCCAGTCAAGGGCACATGCTCAGTTTGCAGGTTCGATCCCCAGTAAGGGGCCTGCAGGACACAGCCAAACAATGATACTCTCTCATCATTGATGTTTCTACTTCTCTCTCCCTCTCCCTACCTCTCTGAAATTAATAATATATTAAATTAATAATTAATTAAATTAATAATGTTATATATATATATATATATATATATATATATGAAGTGCCTTGAAACCCTAGGTCCTAACTTTTAAAATGCAGCTGTAATATTGGTAGCTATAATAATATTTGTTGAATAGTGTGTTTCAGGCAGTTATTAAGTTACTTTTCATGCAGCACCTGCTAAATTACTCACAGACTTTAGAGGCAGCTCATACCATTGCCGTTCTATAAATAAGGAAATTAAATTTCAGAGAGGTGATCTAACTTGTCCAAGGTCACACAGTTAGGCAGTGACAGAGACAAGACTTACCTGCATGTCCCTGACTCCACATCCAAATCTCCCTTCACTTAGGGCATCACGATGCAGGAAGGGGTGTTGCCCTTCACAGGACTCTCTACCATTCAAATGATAGCCTTTGATTGATACTAAATGTCTGACTTTGATTTCCTGCCTTTTCTCTTGTAGGTTCTGAAGTTGCTGCTGGTGGCCTGGGATCGCCGCCTCATTTTTGCCATTGGTACCTCCAGCACAACGGGCGAGTCAGACACCGTCATCTGGAATGAGGTCCATCACAAGACAGAGTTTGGCTCTAATCTCACTGGCCATGGCTACCCAGATGCCAATTACCTGGATAATGTGCTGGCTGAACTGGCTGCCCAGGGCATTTCTGAGGACAGCACTGCCCAGGAGAAGGACTGAACTGGAAGGGCTTTGGGGGAGAAGGGCTGTGGGGACCACAGGGTAGGAAGTGAGGAGAGTCAAGGTGGAAGTTGATGCAGTGCCCTCCTGATTCCCTCATCTCCCCTCTTGTCCTCTCTCCATTCCCCATTCCTCCTAGCCACAGGGGGGAGTCAGATTGAGTAAGAGGATGTCATTCATAAACCTCATCAATTACAAAAGGGACATGCAATGAGGGCCATCCCCAGTCTGTTCCCATGGAGTTTTTGGTGCTGGATAGTCAAGAACACCGCCCCTCTCCCCCTGGTCAGCACACTTAGGGTGTGGACAGTGCATGGCACTCCATATCCTGGCCTCGTGAAGCCTGAGGGTCATTGCCTCAGCTGGCTTCTTGCTGCTTCCACTTCCAAAAGTGGAGTTTCTGCTTTTCTCTCCTCTGCTGGAGGCAAGGAGATCTCACTGTGCAAGTTTGGGGGGCAAAGAGGTGAACCACTAAAATGCTGTGACATCAGAAATCAATGCCTCAGTGTAGAGTGAGGAAGTGCTTCTTGCCAAGAGGGTCAAAGAGACAAAGGCCTCAGTTCTCATAAGAGTCTTTGGCTTCTCTGGACTCTCCTTCCTCCTTACACCATAGACCAGTCCAAAGAGGCATCTGCTTCTCTCTCATGCAGATGGATGGGCTCTGGGATTCCTCTCTGGGTGGCATCCCAAGGTGTTTCCAGCCACTCACTGATCAGACCAGAGCCTGCATCCCACTTAGCATCTGAACTGTCCTCAGGGAGAGGAGTCCATAGTCTTCTTCCAAACTCAGCTCAAATATCCCATGAGTTTCATCAAGACACTGTGAGTAGAGCCTGTGCTGGGCTCTGTGCCGTCTGTGTATGTGCATATGTGTGTGTCTATATGCATGTGTGTGTGTGCGCGCATGCGTGTGTGCATGTGTGTGCACACACATGCACACGAACATATCATGTTCTCACAGTCTGTTTTGAAAGATGTCAAACCCCAATTCTGATGGGGATCAGAAAGCTCAGCCATGGCCCCTCGACTTCTCTCACCCTTTGCCAACCCATCACATAGTAAATTTGTATTCTGATTAAGTCAGAACTGTGTTTGAAAAGATGTGTAATATGAGGGCTGGACTGCTCCCTTTTTCAGTCTCTTTCAAGATAGGATCGAAGCCAATCTCCATCCAGCCTGGTTTCTCTGAGGGCTTCAATCTCTATCCATGCAAATTTGTTAATTAGAGCCCAGGGGTGGTGCTGGGCCATCCCATTTCTCTATTGCAGATTGACTTAGAATATGGAGAGAGCCTCTTCAGCTCATTCGTAACAGGGTTAGCACCATCTTATGGTCTAGTCCAACCTGTGTATGGGTTGTGTCCCAAGACCCTATCTATCTCCTCCCCAACATTCTTCTTGCCTTTGGCTTGCTCCCGTTATGAAATGAATTGGGGGTCAGGGAGTAGAGAAGATGGAATCAAATAGGGAAACCCAATTTCCCCTTTGAAAGTGGGTTCTTTGAACTATGTGTTTGGGGGAAGTTCCTCTGGATACTAATTTGAATTAATATACCTCATGTTTTGGGGGTTTAATGTATATATATATATATATATATATGCATATATATTTCATAATATTTGGGAGGTTTTTGATGCTAGAAAATTTGAAACAAAAGAACCTTTAAAAAATGGTACTGAAATTAGAACCAGAAACAAAGCTTTCCCAAGAGTCCGCTTCAGAGCTGCTGCTGTTAGGCCTTTAGCTGTGACCAGTGGATTTACCTAAGTATCACCCAGGTCCCAGGGAAATGCTGGTGCTGAGACTTTCCTCATTTTCCCACTGGCTTCTGGACAGTCATAGGCTATAGCAGAGGGAGTTCTGATAGGGAGAATTGTGTCTGCCATTTTGGTTCTGGTCTCTCCCATAAGTCAGCAGTCATTTATCTCACCAGCAAACTGGGTGATTGGTCCTGAGTTCACTGCACCACAGAGTCATTTCCTGCCGCTGTTGGGAAGGAAACACCCAAACTCAATGGAAAAGACATCCCTGCAGTGTTGAATGTCACACACCCCCACGCCCTCACCAGACTCCCATAGAGGAGAGGGCATATAGAGCTTTACCATGGGCCACTGCCATCTCTGCCGTCACCCTTGTCAAGTGTCTTCTTGGCTCATCACCCACAGTGATGAGGAATCAGATGGAGGGTCAGTGGATAGAAGCACAGTTGTGCAGTAGGAGAAGGGGAAGAAAGAAGACATGCTTTGACAACTGGCAATGGGCAATGGGGAGAAACTGATTTCCTGCACCAGGCAGAAGAAAGTGTGGGTGGGAAAGGGGCCCCAGAGAGCATACAAGGCAGGATGTATGCCAGGGGAAATGCCACTTTGAGAGTAAGTCTTCAGACCTTCAAGCCTTTCCTCTGGGGTGTTGATTATCTGTGCCCCATTTCTCTTCCTCTCTGAGGATGCTCAGTTGGGGCTACCTCATTCTTATCTTCTTGTGGGACATTCTGGGCAGAGGGAATCTTGCATTTCCTTTCTAACACTGTGCCAAGGTGGGAAGCATTCCGTTGCCCTTTCTCTGGAGCTGGCTTGAAAAGGTACAGTTTGGGGTTCAGTGAAGACCCTGCCAGCAGAGGCCCTGGGCATCCAGCACTTGGAACAGGTGTGTCCCCACCGGAAAGCCTTGCTGAACTTCCTGGAAAACACAGGGACTTCCATGCCTTTCCTTTCATCGTCTTAGCACCAGCAGCTCAGTTCCTCCCTCCCTGGGTCTCCAGGGATGACAAGCCCTGTCAGATGCTCATCCCATAAAGATTAATTGTGCATATGTTGTTGTGTGTGCCTTTTATGTTTTCATTCCTTTCCTCTGTGGTTTTTAGACTTGGTCAAAAGTACTCGTCCTGGTATTGCACTGTTGTGTGCATGAGAAGACTGGGGGAAGGCCCCATTATGGTACAAGAAGGGGTCCTGTCCCCTTTCTTTGTCTGTGGTCACTGGCATTGAGTGGGGGTGGGTTTCTGGAAGAGGGCAGGTGACTGTCCTAATGTAAATGTTTGTAACTGCTGTGTTTTGAAGTTGTTGGTATTGCTCTGTGAGAGGACATCGCCACCTGGTGCTCATGAGCTGTACATGCAGAACAATAAATGGCAAAGGAACAACCAACCACAGATTGTCAACCTTCTCCTTTCTATAGAGCAGGTGTCTATCCGTGAGGCATTTGGGGTAATTCCCTGAGCCTGTAAATAAACACAAGCCCTCCCACTGGGTGGAGTGGTGGGGGGGAGGGGAGTCCCTTTTCTCTATTTGTTTCACATCTTTTCCAACCACACATTTGCCCAAGGGACCTGGTTTGACTTCTTGTTCCTTTAAAGAAAACAGACCACGTGATGGGAAATAAGTAAATGAACCTGAGGGAAAGACTTTTTAACAACTATGAATGTACACTTCTTACAGTTCCCCTTACCTGACCACACCAGAGTGTATGTTTCAATAGTTCACAAGCTGTTGTTTTTCAAATAAATGTTTAGCATTAATTATCCCGATATTAACAAGAACACAGAAATAAAATGCAATAGTAAAGCCACCTTTGTTCCCCCAAACCACCTTTGTCTTCATTTATGAAAGTTCACAAAGTGTGGTTTTCTTGAAATCTGGATTGGCCTTCCCACAGATCCCAGCCTAGGTTCACCAGCAGGAAAGCAGGCCTGGGAACCCTTCCCTCTGGGCTCTGACTTGGTAAAAGCACTGAGAATTACCGAGTTCCGATTTCCTCTGGGTGAACAATCAGAGTGCTTCTTAAGTGCATATTTCAATGCTTATTTATGTGCAATTTTGTTAGTTGAAATATAAATTTGATAAGAGAGAACTCATGGACATGACAACAGTACGATGATTGCGCGGAGGAGGTGGGAAAGGGTATAGAGGGTATAAATGGTGATGGGGGGAAAGTAAAGTTAAATAAGTTAGCCAAGGTTTTCACTCACATGGGCAGTTAGTGCACCGAAAGTCTGGAAGCCACAGTTCTACTTTGTCTCTCTGACCCAGTCATGTTCAAAGAATTCCTGGGAACAGCAGTATGTGCAGAAAAAGTGGTTAGTTTGGCTGAAACGAATCCACAAAACACTCAGAAGTTTAGAGGAACATTTTAATGCTTAAGAAACGAGGTCAAGTGAAGGGGTTGTAGACATTGGTGCCCCTGGCTTGGCTCCACTTCTGTCACTTCTCTTCATCACAGCAGCGGTTGAGGGATGATCCTCCCTCTTGTGGCCTCACGGGCTGGGATGCTCCAAGGCGCTCCGAAGAAGAACCAGTTGTAAACCCAAGCTCCTAATTGTGAATGTGAACCAGGGAGGACAAACTATCCTCCACAGAAGATCACTCACTAATGACATTTGATTTGGTGAGAAGTGTATAACTTTTTAAAATGTTGTGGAGGAACATTGATAGAGTCTCCCTGATCATTGTAGTTACGTGAGATTGGTACTAAAACTGGGTGAAGCCTCAAGTGCCAGGTAACAGGCATGCATCCTGTCGGGTGCCTCCAGGAGGTCAGCCTGGAACTGAAGGGAATATGTCACAAATGTTGTTGAATGTCCTTTTCACTTCATTTAATAGCATGGATTTGATCATGCTGGCCTCCTTGCTTCTGGTAAGATAAAGGCAGGGCACATATGCGGTGTCTAGTCTGTGTTGGTTTTCAGGAGAATGAAAAACTTAGCTGTGGGCTTACTTTGCCTTTTGGCTGAATTCCTTGTCTCCCATCCCCAGAAAAATGCAAACTTCCTGTTGGAATGTGGTGTGTGAGGCAGGGAGTGCATGTGATAGGAGTCAGGAAAGACAGGGGCCATTCATGAAAGAGGAAGGGGTTGTACTTTGGTAATATAGACCAGGAAACTGCAATACTTAAACCACCCAAAATCTTTACTCTTTACCTGTTTATGAGAAGCTGAGAAAAAGAAGTGAGGTAGTGGGTTGTGGGTAAGAGTTTCAATTTCCCCTGAGTACTAGACCCTTTTCCAGTTTTTATCCTTTCTTCATTTACTCCTTTTTTACATATTATTCCTTCTCCCTTGACATCCTAATAAAAGTTAAAAATTAAAATATTTTCTGAGGACTTTATGAACTAGTCCAAAGTCCAAAGGTGGTCTAGTCTAAGTCAGCATTAAATTTTGTGGAAGTTGGAAAACATAGGTTTGATATAAGCAACATGTTTCTGTTCAGATGATGTTGAGATGACCCAGAGGAGATGACACAGCCAATCAATGCAGAGCCCTCAGAGCTAAAAAGCTGTGGCCAAACAGGACTCCTATGTCCTCTAGAGGCTCTGTCAGCCTCCAGGAACATGAGATCCAGACATCCCTTTAAACAAAATGGCTGGAGGGTAACACTTAAAGGCAGAAATTTTTTTTCTTTCTTTCTCAAGATAAAAATTCTTATAGCTTGTGAATTGGAAACCACAGCCAACCTCAGATTAAATACATCATTTCCAAATTCAAATGTCAACATTCCCCCACCTTACACCCAACTTTTTACATGTATGCATTCAGATGAAAATAATTAATGGTGCACATAGAGAAAAGATACCCATTCATGTTTTAATCCCCAGAATGACTTGTGCTTAGAAAGTCACAATTCTTCCCCAATCCTCACCCCAAAATCGCCCAAGTAACTATTAATTTCCTTGCCCAGAGACTAAAGGTATACCTGCTTTTGGTTGCACTTGCCACTTCAGTAGTTAGAAAGGCAGAAATGTAGAGAGAAGGAATGAAAGAGACATGCTTGAAGCTCTGTCTTCAAATGAAGCATTTTCCCAGGAGAGATTTAGGCTGGACACTGCTCCTGCTCTTGGTCTGAAGTGTCTTCCGTCCCTGCAGTGCCAGGAGCCAAACTCTGCCTCTCGTCCTCAATTGCCTGGTATCCCCTCTTCTTGTATTTCCGAATGCGATAGATCACCAAGGCAATGATAACTGCCAGGACGGTGGTGACCCCCACTGTAACCCCAGCAGCTGCTCCCCCCGACAGACCACTACCATTCCCATGGATGACTTTCATGGCCCTGCGAAGCTCTAACGGCTCTCCCAACCTCCACTGGTTGGTCTGGGGGTCTTTAATCCAGGAGCTTGAAGTCTCAGTATTAGTCACTACGACAGTGTTAGTGGCAGCCTGACTCATAAGGGGTGGCCGGGTATAAGGTGGGAGCCTGGCAGGGGGCAGAGACCCTCCTGTAAAGATCCCAGACTTGACACAGTAGGATACTTGGCACCCATCACTGATGAGGGCTAGATGTTGGCTAAAGCTCCCGGGACATTTTTTCAGAGCAGGTGCCCCTATGTCTCTGGATATGGCAGAATCCACCAAGGGGTTCCCAACTGCACAGCTGAAGAACCCACCAAAGGGGACCGAAAACTTATATCCCAACTCATAGTCCTGAGAGGCACATACCTTGAGGCTTTCAAAGAGTCTTAGTGGAAAATAGCCAGCTGGGCATGACTGTGCATTTGTCAGAGGGTTAATGCTCTTAGCACTGAAGAGGCCCCCAAAAAGTAGTCCTGAGTTTTCTGGCACTTCACCACTAGCCACACACCAAAAAGCCCTAAATTCGGCCTTTGCCACTCGGAACACATCTTCACACACCGTCTTGCAGAAGACCCAGAGGGTGCACTTCCGGACACACTCCAAGTCATTGTAGCCCTCCTCGTAGATCTGGGTCAGCAGGTGGATTGGGGAGTAGCCAGAGGGGCAGGAAAAGTCACCAGTGAGTGGATTCTTCTGCTCCAAGTGTTGGCAGACTTGGACAGCCCCATGTCCTGACAGCTGAGTGCATTCCTGATAAACCCCACCAAAGGAAAAGTTGGTCATTTTCCCTTCACAAGAGCCATCATCAGTGTTGGCGTGAAAATTGAAGTTGGGTGAGTTGATATCTGTGCATCCAGGATAGGTGTTGAAGGTGTAGTAGTGCCTCACAGCAGATTCCACCGTCTTAGACAACTTCTTCACCAATGGCCCTGGCAAGTCAGGCAGCATGTCAGGGTTGATGAAGAAATTCAGAGGCAGGCCAGCACGGTCTATGGCCACCAGGTGATTGGTGATGCCCTGCTGCCAGGTCTGGAGGGTGATGCCTGGGTAAAATGGAACCCCTCCAATGCTCTGCACCCTGGAGTGGGTGCGGTTTGAGAGGTAGCCTTTGATGAAGGCATTCTGTGAGGTATAGTTCTCCTCAAATTTGAAGTTCACAATGTTTCGGAAGACAGCTCCGGCAGAGGCGGTCACAGCACTACGGCTGCTCTGGCTGTCCTGGAGGAAGGAGGATCTGATGTGGTCTTCCTGAATGAGAGCAGCCCCAGCATCCACACTGGTGATGACATGGGTGCCATAGTTGAGGACCAGGAGCTCTGCCAAGTAGGTGGCCATTCGTGTCTGGTTGTTCTCCAGACGGTCAGAGATGTCCAGGAGCAATTTCTTAAACGCCAAGTTTAGTTCTGAAACTGGGTTGATTTTGACTGTGTAGATCAGGTTTCTTACCTGGACATGGGTGGTTACAGCTTGGTCCTTCACCTGAAGAGTCTTCATCCTCTGGAACTCTGCGGAGAACTTGCCGTTGACTTTGGAAAAAAGGGAGAGCTCCGTGTTGATGGAGAAGGAGGTGCTACTCTGGTAATTCACCCAGGAATCCATGATTTCTGAGTTCATCTCCAGGTTGCTCTGTTTCTGGGGAATGGTGAAGATTTCATCAGGGATGATGTACTCGCCATCCTCCGTGGTCCTGCAGTCGGTATAAGTCAAGTCCAACACCCGTCCCAAGTCCACATTCCGTAAATTATCCCAGCCGCCTCCAGGTAAGACTTCCAAAATAGGTAGATTTAAGGCCTTCTTGCATTTTTGAAATCCAGCCTCATCTGCCTCTCCCTGAGGCTTGTCCATCTTAGCCCATGCTGCCACTGTCCAGAGGAGGATGGCACCCTTGAAGCTAGTCATGTTTCAGACAGCCTCAGCAGCAAGCCAGCTCTAAGCAGCATCCAGCAAGTGTGGTGCAAGCAGAACCAATGTGAAAGAGCAAATGCTGAAACTAAAAAAAAAAAAAAAAAAAAAAAAAAAAAAAAAAAATCAGTAGTTCTCCTAAAGCCAGCAGTTCCGCTTTAGGCTACTGTAATTGCAAAATGGGGAAATGAGTCGGTTGGAATACTGTGGTCCATCAGGACTTTGAAAACATTATGGTGTACCATATAACCTTAACTGTCCCCCAGAACCCCCCAGGTGGTTACACTATGGTAGTAGGGGGTACTCAGAAGTGCAACCACACACCTGTTTCCTCCACATGAGTTTTCCTTCTGTAAAAGATTTTTGCTTTCGATTCATTCTCTTAGTGTTTCAAATTTTTTCTGACTGCTCTTTGCTGGAACTCCAATATCAGTTTCTTCAAACTGCAAATGCAGAGGTAAATGACAATATCATTCTTGCCAAGACACCAACTTCTCCATACCTAGCCTAGAGGTAGGTCATGGCCAAAGCCTAGGTATCCAGTTTACCTGAGGTTGAAAGTTGTTCCCACAGAAAAAAGGAGTGAAAATCTTGAACACAAATCTTGTGGAGTTTCATTGTGATAAGCCCTAATAGTCCCAGCTTTGGAAGTGGCATTATCTAAGGCAGAGTTGAAGGGATCTGAAGGAAATTCCACTTGCTACACATTGGGAACCTCAGTCTGCATTGTCCTCAGCATTCAGAGTGAAGGTGAGAAGTCCCACTCTGTACTGTTGTTTCTTTTCAGATAGAAATGTTTAAACAGCCAAAACCGGTTTGGTTCAGCGGTAGAGCGTCGGTCTGCGGACTGAAAGGTCACAGGTTCAATTCCGGTCGGGGGCATGTACATTGGTTGTGGGCACATCCCCGATCAGGGGTGTGCAAGAGGCAGCTGGTCAATGTTTCTCTCTCATCAACGTTTCTAGCTCTCTATCTCTCTCCCTTTCTCTCTGTAAAAAATCAATAAAATATATTTGAAAAAAAAAAGAAATGTTTAAACAAGGAGAAAATCCACACTATAATCTAGATTTTTGATTTAGAAATAGCAGACAGTGGCCAAAGAATATACAGTAGGTATATACACACTTATACACCGTGTGTGTGTGTGTGTGTGTGTGTGTGTGTGTAGCTACTAAAAATTTGGTAGCTGCTGTTATACCTCTCATTCCATTCTTTTATTTAAAATATAGTTTTAGCCGAAACCGGTGTGGCTCAGTGGATAGAGCGTCAGCCTGCGGACTAAAAGGTCCCGGGTTCGATTCCGGTCAAGGGCATGTACCTTGGTTGCGGGCACATCCCCAGTAGGGGGTGTGCAGGAGGCAGTTGATCGATGATTCTCTCTCATCGATGTTTCTAATTCTCTATCCCTCTCTCTTCCTCTCTGTAAAAAATCAATAAAATATATATTTTTTTTAAAATATATATATATATATTTTTTTTGATTTTGTACAGAGAGGAAGGGAGAGAGAGAGTTAGAAACATCGATGAGAGAGAGACATCGATCAGCTGCCTCCTGCACATCCCTACTGGGGATGTGCCCGCAACCAAGGTACATGCCCTTGACCGGAATCGAACCCGGGACCTTTCAGTCCCCAAGCCGACACTCTATCCATTGAGCCAAACTGGTTTTGGCTCATTCCATTCTTAAGTCCATATAATCAGTACAGGTGCCCATAAAAGAATGTAAGTCTCCATTACTCAATTTTTAAAGCAACAATTCACAATTTCACAAATTTTCTTTAGTATACTAATGTTAGGGCATTAGAGCCCATAATTTATAATAGTGTGTTTAGGCTCATTGATCTCATGCCAGGATTAATTAAAGCCCACATCTGTCAATTCTTTGGGACAATTAGGGTGCATTTTAGGATGTTTAATGGTAGTCAGAGAATCCATTGGATTTAATGGGATCCCCAATGCACGCTAATGTCTTCCCAAATCAAACCATGAAGGAGATGCAGTGCTGAGGTTGAAAAAGTTATGCTTCGATTTGTTAACTATCATTATACTATCACCTGTGTGCATCCTGAAAAGGCAGTTTCAAGGAACTGAATTACCTCAGAGTGTCATGGATTTTCAGAAATCTTGAGGGCAGTTTGCCTAGTTTCATGGGGTGACCTTCACTAGTTGTTATTAAGATAATAAATATATTGTGTTCTGTAAATCTAGAAATAGCCATTCTGGGCCTATTCATGCCTCAGTTATCACACTTCAGGGAATTCATCTACACCCAAGAAGGATTAATTTATCAACTAGTGCTCAGTATGTACTTGGCTAGAGAAGCTATGCACAGGACATCCTGGTCAATTTCCAAATCAGTTATAAATGTATAGCTCAGTAGAATAATCCAAGAATTAGAAAAAGTAGAATTAAATGCCCTTTGGTACTTCCAATAAGTCTGTTTAAAATATCCACACACTTTTCTTCAAACTGTTTCAGGGTTAATTCATCATAATCAGAAAACTCTCTCATACAGTTTTGAAGACATGCTAACAATGTTGTACTCTTTATGATCCCTTTAATAAATCCTGTTAATAAATCTTCTGCAATGAGAATATAAGAAAGGTGAATATCAATAATTCTATATTCAGGTGTTCCCACATCCTAGCACACCCAGTCATTGTCATTTTTTTGGAGCGCTTTCTTCTTCGTTTTTATCATAGCAAAAATTGAAAATAGCTAAAAGAGCCAATAGGAATGAAATTATATTGCATCCATATGATATAATATAGCCATCATAGTTAAATATTCAAACAATTTTAATAACATGAGAAATTCTTATGCCATAATGTTAATTTTAAAAAATGGTATACATTCAACATGACCTCATCTGTGTATAAATATATACCTGTTGACAGTAGTTATATCTGATTGGTAAAGTTTTGTGGACCTTGAGATAAAAGAATCATTTGATGTGACCTACCAAGAAGTTAATCTGCTGAGGAATCCCCATGTTCTACTGAGGACCTCAATCTTATGAATACTAGAATCTAGTGGCTGCTTACTGGCAGGGGTTTCTCATGCATTCTGTATAGCAGGAAGAACCTAAGACTGGACCTTTGGCTTCCCACACTATGCCCTCCACGCCCCCTTTATACCATCTGAGTCAACCACTGCAAGGAAGCCCTGATTTCATCTATCACTGAAACATGCTGGGTCCAATCAGAACTGTTCAAGTTACTTGCACCTATATCAGCCAATCAAAACTGCATGATTTAAACCCATGGTCGGCAAACAGTGGCTATCGAGCCACATGCAGCTCTTTGGCCCCTTGAGTGTGGCTCTTTCACAAAATGGGTGAGTCTATTTTGAAGAAGTGGCATTAGAAGAAGTTTAAGTTTTAAAAAATTGGCTCTCAGCCGAAACTGGTTTGGCTCAGTGGATAGAGCATCGGTCTGCAGACTGAAGGGTCCCAGATTCGATTCCGGTCAAGGGCATGTACCTTGGTTGCGGGCACATCCCCGGTAGTGGGTGTGCTGGAGGCAGCTGTTTGATGTTTCTCTCTCATCGACAACGTTTCTAGCTCTCTATCCCTCTTCCTTCCTCTCTGTGGAAAAATCAATAAAATATATTTAAAATAAATAAATAAATAAATAAATATATTGGCTCTCAAAAGAAATTTCAATCATTGTACTGTTGATATTTGGCTCTGTTAATATTTAGCTACCTCATTTACATAAAATAATCTAATTGACAACTGATTGGAAATTTTCACTGTAGAAAGTGTAGCCTCCCCTTTGTCTCAGTAGAACACAATTTAGATTTTTACTTGAATCTGTGGCTCCCAGACTACAGCTCCTTTTGCCTCAAATAAATGCTTTTTATTCTTTATTAGCCTAAAATTAATTTTGGTTTATAGTTGTATGAATTATTTAAACTTTTTCCTCTTTGTGATTTTTTATTTTTCAACAATGAGCATGTCTTTAATAATTTGACCAATTTTTCTTAGGAATCTACTAAGTACCAAACACAGGGATGGGTACTGAGTATCATTACTTTTGTACTCAAGAAAATGTCTGACAAGTATACATTTAAAAAAGAAGAAGAAATTATTTCTGAAATTTCCATATATCTAAAATGACCCAAAGCCTATGACTCTGTGATTGCTGTTCTTAAGGAAGTTCTCTTTTATGTTCCCTGGGAAACAATAAAATGAGAAGTGCAAATGATGGGAATTTCAGTTCAACTTAAATTTGGAGGCCAGCAGCAGGCATTGCTGCTCACAATGGTCAAGGGAGAGGAAATAGCACAAAGAGTTTGACCTGAGTGTTACCCCCACTTCTTTCTTGCTTTACTCTGCTCACCAGAAATTTCCTCTACTTTTTTCTTATACTGAAGTGCTTATGCAATCGCATAAACTCTCCAGATGGCTACCCTCAAGGGCCCCTGTCTGAAAACTGAATTTTGATCTCTAAAAGAAATAGCTAACTTTTTTTCATAAGCTATCCAACTGTGTTACAGAAAAATAATTTCACTTCCTCCAAAAAGAGGCAAGAGGGAAGTCTCGTGTCTGCTTTCTTTCTCAGTTTGAGCGCGTGCAACTATCTGGCATCATCTTATGCAGAGCCAAGCCATAATTCAGGCCTGAGGTTCACTTCTATGTGGGCTTGGAGCTGGTCCAGGTGTTTCCTACTTCCGCATTTTACCGTGGTTTGAAATGGGGTGTGTGGGGGGGGGGGGTGTTGTGGGGAAGTCTGGTTTTGTTTTCAGGGACAGTTTCCTTTCTTATTTTTAGCATAAATCTGGAAAACCAGAATGAAAACTTACATTAAAACAATTGTTAAATGAATCACAGAACCATGACTTTTATACACTCTGAAATTAACTTGGTTCTAGAAAAATCTAGGAGATATCAGTCAAGTAAGTGACAATATATTTTTTTTTTCCTGAACTGTTGATTGCTAACCTGATAGAGTTGTTTTGTCACTTCTTCCCTTCAAAAACTGTTCTGCCATCCA